GAGAGAGAGAGAGAGAGAGAGAGAGAGAGAGAGAGAGAGAGAGAGAGGCGAGTGATATTAAACGTGAACGCTAAATGTATGTGTGTTGCCTATTCAAAGGCGTTATATATAACGACTCATTAAAATACAAACCTCGACTGGAAGCATTGCTTATATTGTCACCAAAGTATTCGGCCGATGAGATACTGTTTGAGCCTTGAAATTTGGCCAAATTTGCCGAACGCTCGAAAGATGATGTTTCGTGTCCAAAGAATTGATCGGATGATATGCTCTTCGCACTGGCACCAAATTTTTTCTGTGCATCGGTATTCTCATATGTATTATATGATGTCTTATCTGCGGTGGTTTTATTGTTGCTGTTACTGATGCTATTGCTGCTGCTGTTGCTGCTACGCACATTTGAATTATTGTTTCGATTGGGCGATGTAGGGGATGGCGCATTGAACATGCTAGTTACACTGGAATGGATTGGTTCAATTGTTTCAAATCCCATCATTGCTAAATCGCGGTCATGTGATTTCGGCGACGAATACATGGCCGAGTAATCATCGAAGAAATCATCTTTTGGCTCTTTTTCAAATATTTTTGTCGTGAATTTTGGCGTTGGCTCTTGTGCAATCGTTTTCATGTCATTGAGCACGGAATGTGACACATTTCCACGTAAATTAAAGCCCATTCCAAGACGTTCCATTTGCTTGGCTTTCGTTGGATCGATGTGTTTCAGTTTTTCCTCTTGCTTTTGAGCTTTCAACGATAGATCTTGGTATGCCAACCGAACACTGTTAATTGTGTCAGCCTGCTCTTCTTCCGTCAGCTTCTTTTCAGGCACTTTTTGTTGATCCGCCAAATTGGCTTGATTTTCCAAATCGGCAAAGTTGGTTTTCACCTTTGTCGCTCCAAGAGCACCTTTTTTACCAGCACCCAACTAATTTCCAAATAAAAACAAAGATATTTAGCCAATGGAAATGAATCAAATGATTTAAATACATACCCCTCGCCTTGGCTGCACTTTTCGGATTCCGATTGTGGATTTTGGCGCTTCGACTGGAACACTTGAATTTAAAAAATCAACGCTCGGTGCACCCGTTGAAGCTTGATCTAACTTCGGTTTGATTTCTTCTTTTTTTGGAACGATCTGTAAGCAAAAGGTGGGTCGACTTCAAACGAAATGCCATATATGTTTCATGTATTAACAGACCGATTCAGATCTGTTTACGTTATTGGTTAATTCCATAAAATAAAGTGAGCAAAAAGAACGAGCAAAACCGTGTGGCACACGTACGAACCTTGGTTTCAGCTGTTTCACTGGAACTAACAAAATTATTGTTTTGTGAAAAACCATTTAGGTCATTTTCACAGTCGGCAAAGAAATCTTCCTCTTCTGCCTTCTTATTATTACTTTCGTCATGGTCATGAGAATCCAAGAACAGCTAAATGCATCAGAGAAAATAAATGAATGAACAAAAAAAAAAAAAAAAAAACGAAATGAAATGATATTTCATGCAAAATGTTGTTTAGATATTGAATATGATTTTCACTGCACAAAACACACAGAAAAACGAATGAGTGATTAAATTAATGAAATGCACTCACTGTAGTGCCATGCTGTTTCATAGCCTGCTGAGCAAGATTGCTTAATTTTTCACGATACAGCGTAGCGGCACGTGAATTGTACTTTTGCTGTGCATCGGTTGTAATGCAATTATGTTGCCGAAAGAATTGGGCAGCTTTTGCATTGCCACCCAATTGCATTTGCCTCAATTGAATCCATGTCCAGTTTGTATCTAAATTTGTTGATCGAACAAACGTCAAATGAACGCCCAGATTCCGATGGACTGCTGAACAATCAATGCATATAAACACACCGTAGGTCACCGACGACCATGTCGGATTTTTTGCACTGCAATCGAAACATGTCTGCGATAGAAAAAAACACAAACAAACAAACATATTTTATTATATGGGAAAGGATATATTATAAGAGGAAAAGAGAGAAGAACTCGTTGGATTTGTTTTGTTTTTTTTTTCTTCTTCAAATTAAACAACATAATGAGCAGCAAAGTGTTTTTGCCACTCCATATAAATGGAATGTACGATGTGTACAATTGAAATTATGATAATACCTTGTTGGTGGGTTGTGCACGCAGCCGATGGAAAACTGCTTCAATATCGGTTTTGGATGGTCCACTTGTACTTGCCATTCTATGTTCTTAGTTTATTTAATATTTTGCCTCGTTCAAATAGTTTCGCAATATTTGCCACAGTCAATTTATCGATTTGATGTTTGTAAAATAATTTTATTTGGCTATTATTTTGAATTGCCAATTTTTTTTTTTTTTTGGTAAACTGTAAACTAATGGTATCTTTTTTAAACTAAAAACTAACGATTTTATTTGATTCTAATCGATTCTAATTTTTAACAAAACAAAAAAGATGAAATATATGTATATAATAATGCAGACAATGTTCGTGATAATATTTTTCTTTTGACGTGTACTCGTTTCCAATGCCAAATCATGATGTGAATTGTGGAATAAAAAGCCATCTGGTGGCAACAATTGGCTAACACGAAAACTATTCGTGACATTTCATTCAAACGACTTAAAACAGACCTACACCCGTTTCATCGACGCATAATATTATTTGAACAATACTTAAAATGAGCTTATAATTCGTTTTCGTCTTTAGAAAAATTATTATCCTTTTCTTTCTTTCTTTTTAATCGATTTATTACCATCTTTAGATTAATTCAGCGCTCATGAATTTAGGTTTTCACTTTCATTTTGTTTCAGCATTTATGAGAAATGAAATGTGTGAGATAAAGTGAAGGAAAAAGTTGTACACCTTCAAATTTCAAACTTGTAAATTGACAATATGCTGAAGAACAAGTGGTAAAACGCATGCAATTGAATAAATTGCTTACGGCTGGCAAGAATATCACAGCGACATTGACCCTGTTTATTGGTTTGGCACTTTTACTATCATTTCGCTGCCGTAATAATCAGAGAAAGACGTGAAGCTGAGAAAAGCTGTTTTTTTTTATTTATATCTGAACGAAATAACTTGCAGGCGGTTTTTAAATTGTTCATTGTGGAAAAGTGATGTTGCACGTAGATATGCGACGTCCGTCAAAATAGTGTAAAAATCAGGCGATAATGTTTATTCTGTCGCTAATTTCATCGGTTTTTGTTATATATTACAGTTGAGCATAGAAATGCAAACACAACACACATGTTCATACATTTGAATAATTAGGTTGAGGTTTTAAGACCATGCTAAATCTAAAATAAACATTCGTAGCTAACAAAATGACCAAGATTCACGATCTTGATTGTATTCAATATGGAAGTAAAACCACAGAGTTCCATTGAACGAATCAGTAAGTCGCCGTTTCAACACGCGTCGCTTTTCTCTCACTCACTCTCTCTTTCTCTCTCTCTCTCTCTCTCTCTCTCTCTCTCACTCTCTCTCTCTCTCTCATATCTATTTCCCTTTCTTCGTTCATTTTAGCCGATTTCTCCTTTTTCCCATTGGTAATCGGACATGAGTATTAGGTTATTTAGCAGGTTGTCAAATGGATTGTGTGTTGAAAGTTAAAAGGCGCTAGCCAGCAAAAAAAAAAATTGGTGCGGCCTGAACAAATACCTCCACATAAAACACATAATAAAAACACTACGTGTTTAGATAAACTTCTACATTTTTTTCTACAAACTAACATGTCATTTTCAAAGGAAATGAAAACTGAGAATTGCGTTAAAATGTGCATATATCTTTCATGATTTCGGTGTATTTGATTTAGGTTTAGAAAGCCAAACGCTTGTTTGCGCACAACAAATTGAATTGAATTGACAAAACAGCGCAACGACTGAATTTCAATTAATTATTAAGTGAGCGCAAACATTGGTGTCCGAAACCAAAAATTGAGCAAGTTGCAGTTTATTGACTTTGGTGATGTCACTGTTACTGCTTGTGATGTAACGTTCGTGGCTTTATATTCGTGCGTTTTGTTTTTCGTATTTTGAAATCAGTCCATTCGAAGAAAAAGATTTAAACGACTCGAAAATGATGGAACAATGAACATTTGATCCTAATAACATTCTACAACAAATTTATAGATTGCCATTGAAAATGGTATTCGAATTAGAAAAATAAATAAAATGTCTGGAAGCTGCTGGCTGGTATACAATGAATTTTGACCATTTTGAACTTCCGTCACACCGTATTTTATGCAGAGCAAATAAAGCAAAACAAGAAGACGTATAACCATTTAGGCTTTCGTATTGAATTTAACCTTTGCTACGGTTACTCTGAATAAAAAACAAAACAATACATTGCTCGCGCACAATTGTGCAACTCATATATGCTCTTTTTTCTTCAAGATCGTGTGTTATATTTACTTTTGGCCATCTCTCTTTCAACTCATACCGTGTGAGTTGCATACGATAAGATTTATACATTACCGCATTAATGCTACTATTGCGTAAACCTATAAACGAGTGAAATTAATTACATTTAAAATGAAATGTATAGTTTACCAACTGAACACTCAACACAATGTACGCGTGCATTCGAAATTCTGTGAATAAATTTCGTACCGCAAATGCAGACCAAAATACATATTGAGTGTATAAAAAAGATTCCGCGTAAAAATCTAGTGCATTTTTTGTAAAACCAAACAAAAATAAAATTCCATTAACAATCATCAATAACAACAACAGCAGCAGCAGCAGCAGAAGCAAAAAAAAACATCAACAACTGGAAAATACATGATTCATCAATATTACTGCGTTTAGTCAGCAAACTTGGATCGCATGTGCAAATAGTCGGAAGCCTTGTTTTTTTTATCATCCACACAAATGTCATTGGTCCATGAATTTTTAATGTATTCATTGAAAACCGATTGATGCTTAAGATGTGCTTTGATGGCATTTTTAGTACTACATGAAATGTAGAGCTATCGGTCTGGGGATATAATTTTTTTTTTTTTTGTAATGAAAAAACTATATTTTTGAATTTTCGATTGAAGCGTTAGTTCGCCGAATAATTTTCAAGTTAAGAAACCTTTCAAGTTAGTCTCATTTGGAAGCGACGTTTTATTATTCAAGGATGTCTGATCTGCATCATTTTTCATTCTCACCGAAATAAAAGTAATCTCCAATTGTCGCAATTTAGTGAGTTTATCCGTTTTTTTTTAATTAAAGAAATAGCTTAGTAAATACCAATTTAATCACTGAAATTCGAACAAACAGCGGAGCGAAGCGAAGCTCTACTCATTTGTTTTTCATCTGCGGTTGAATGATCATATAGGCTGATCCATGTCTCTTTTTTATGTTTTAAATCAATTTTCTTCCGGGAGAGAGATGTGTTATGAACCCACAGATATAGCGACCGTATTATGATTCCATTTCATGAATATCAGCTAAATATGAACGCGTTTATTCAACACTGCTGAGCATCCAGCCAAGAGTAATCTCCATCCAAATATTGTGCCTTCTGTATTTGGTCTATTTGTGTGCATTCCAAGGATTACACAAGCCAAAGCTAAACAAATTTCGCTCACGATTTGGAGTGTACAAATTATGACAATCATGATTGCTAATAAGTGTTGACATAAAACGTTGCTCACAGTGTGAACCTCACACCATCAAAACATGACTTATGAGCGAAAACAATGTAACTCAAATACCGCTTCTTTCTCTCTTATTCCGATTGATTTTCTACTTAATCAACTACAGTCAATCGCAACACACACCGTTCCATGCATCTTGAAAAAAAAAAAATCAATCATTATTATGTCACTAAAAAAAAATTTCTGCTCGTTTAAATACTAGGCCGGGTGCCGTTTTTTAAAATTGCATTATCGGCATGTATTCGAAATGTGCAACTTGAATTGGGTCGCGAGAATAAACTGAAAAGAGATACTACGTTGAAAGATCGTTGCGTTGACTGAAATTGAATTTTCGAAAGAAAAAGAATCACGAACTTTTGCATTTTTGCAACAATAGCCTTGAACTTTTTGTGCGGCTTGGCTTTCAACTAAAATGCATACATGAGAATATACGATCATCAATCCACACCGATTAGATAGTAGCATATCCAGCGAGTTGGAATTACCTGTAATAAATATAGCCACCGATTAGCCATTTGAAGTTTTATAACATTTCGGCTGGATATAAATTATCAACTATGAAACCAGTTCTTTCTTTTCATTCCTGATAATTAATAAATAGTTCAACTACAGTATGCACATCACCAGCAATTGTTATGCGCAGTGAAGTAGTATGCGCACATCGTGTTTTTTTTTTTTAATTTTGTTTACGCGATCATCAAAATTGACTTCAGGCTTGCTCATGCCCAGAAATCGATGTGGTTTTTTGAGATAAAAATATATTGCTTCGAATAGAATTTAGCGGATTTCAATCGAATTAAAAATATTCGGCACCATGCAAACTAGCCGCTGATATTTTGGCCGAAACTGAAAATTATTACTTTTTTCGCCAATAAAATGAGTTTTAGTCGAATCAGACATGATCTTTTGACAGTGAAGGCTCTATCGATTTCCTGATCGTATTTTCTTGTTACCGTTACATGAAACTTACATTGTACAATGTACATGCAATGTAAAACGTACTAACTTCGTTTTTTTTTTTGTTCTTCTCCCCAGGGCTTCAAAACTTTGAATTATTGAATTCCAAAACAGCTTCTGGTTTTATGTTTTATTATTATCTGTGACTAACTACAAATTTTGATTAAAACCTTATTATCAATACGACACTTGAAATTTTTCATTTCCACACATTATGATGTTTGATGTAGTGTATTGATCAAAACAGGAGTTTAGCTGGTTTTTTTTAATTTTCGGTGACCTGAACGTCATTGTACTGTGTATGCTATCTAATAGATAGTATCTATCTGATCCATCTATACATTGTGATTCAGTATATTTCATGTAAGGCCTCAATTGTAGTTTGTTATGCAATAACAAAAACTGAACTTCCTTGTTTCAATATTATTCAGCTAATAGTAATTTTGAAAGAATTTTTTGGCCGCTAATGAAAATAATCTTAAGATGCTAGCAGACAATAGTAATTTTCAATCGCGACTAAAAGTTCGGCTGCTAAATTATCATTCCTTACATAAACGCACATAAGTTGTTACCTTTATCACCTTTATTAATACTCGATTTATACTCTGTGTAAGAACATTTTGTGAAGAAATTCACAATAGCGAAAAAAAAAAAACACTGTATAACTTCATGCTTTGAAACACTTCGTCCTTATCAGTATTAATGTAAAACTACCCGTGCATTGAACAGTTTCGTACGATTATATCCATATCGCATAAAAAATTGAGTAATCAAGAGAATGTGGCTCGGATCTATTGCAATTTGACATAATTTCATAAGAAAATGAGCTGTGATGAAAATGATTTATCTACTTTACTATTTTGTTGAACAAGATATATGTCTAACCACAACATCATTTTTGAATGATATATATGCTATACAAAGACATCGAACAAACAAATCAAATGATTTCTAGCCAAGACTTTTACGGATATTCAGGCAATTTTAATGAATTTTAACTGAATTGTGAATCCAAATTGGCTGAAAGGTTGGTGAAACTGACCGAAAATCAGGGTTTCAATTTTCGCATCCGCTCGATAGAGCCTCCATAAAATCAATTATTTCAATAAAATTTGAAATGAATAATTTTTGTTTAGTTTTTTTTTCTTCTTCATAGATTAAAATATAAATCAAAACCAATTATTTGAATGTAGTTTAAAGCCGTAATTTGTAGCAGAACATTGCGAATTTTTGCAAAGATTCTTCTGAAAGAGTCTCTTTTGGAAAACTTTTCGATTGAATCGATGTGGGCTCTATCGAACGAATGGGAAAATTTAAACCCTGCCGCAAATAGCTGAAAATTATCCGAATAATTGTCGGCTGTAGTGATGAAAATGAAAGGAAAAAACGCTGACTGTGTTCAAATGAAGGTGGATCGAAGGTGTGTAAATTTATCTACTTTAAAATTCGACGAAAAAAAAAACTATTACTAGTTTGTACACATTTTAAGTATGATCGCTGCAAACTGCTGCTGCGCTGAATGTAAATATTGTGTTTAAAAATTGCTACGTTGTTAGAGGAATGAATGAATGAAAGCACATTTTTATGAGTACGCTCATTTGATTTTTTTTCTGTTCAGTCATTCATTTCACAACTTTCGTCGACATAATCGATGCTCAAATATTTGATTCGAGTACTCGTTATTGCAACGAGAGTGACAAACATCTGAGAAATGACGAGAAAAAAAAAATGTAACTGTAGCAGCATTGACATGAGAGCATCTACCGTAATCCACAAACCATGATATGAATGTCATTTTGAAGTTGTAAAATGAATAGCTGTGTGTGTTTTTTTACTTTTAGTTTGGCAACATCTGAATACTAACGGCGGCATAAAATGAGTTGGAACAACCAAAGAAAAGAAGGTTGAAAGCATTTACCAATTTAATTATTTGATTATCACTTTTGAGGGTTTTTGTATAATTGAATTATGTCAGTCGAATGATTTACGTTTAAAACATTGTTTTCATTTGCGAAAACCAATTTTCGCAATACCCCATCAATTGCATCGTCATACAATAGAACATTAAGAAGAATTGTATGATCTTGATCCAACCCTTGAGCACAATTGCACTTTGGATTCGGCGCCTAAATGCAGAATCAGGAAACCATTTTTTTCTTCTATGCAAATTGAAAGCAGCATGTTCAATTCAAATATTTGGCTTGAAATGAAGTAGCTGTCATGCTCATCTCGTCTCTTGTATTGGCAAATATTTACTGCGCTTATGTGTTATATGTTCAGCAAATAGAATCCATTAAAATATTTATTGTCTCATTGGCAGACGAGGAAAGGAGAGGGAGATAAAGCATCATGATGATGGGTTTTTCATTTTTACAGTTTGCTAAACACTTTACCGCATATTCAATGGAAGTAAATGAGTCGCGTTGTTCGAGCGATATGTGAACAGACTGATTTTATCACCACCTTGATTGGACGAAGTTGGCTCTTGTAATGTTTGAGTTAATTTATTTGCATAATGTCTCCGTGCAGGCTTTTTATAGCGAATATCAATTAACGTGGTACATGAGACGATTTCCTAAGCATATAGTTTCAAGTGCAATTTTCGCTCATTATGCGAATCAGCTTATGGCTGAACAATGCTGAATAAATGAGAATATTTTGATTCTGAAACTGATGTACGTAAACAAGGATTGCTCTGATAATGACTGAACAATAAATTGAGTTTTTTTTTTTATATTTGGCAATTACTTGTCGCCAATAAGAACTGTACGGCTTTAGTCGAATACTAAAACACTTTATGGCTTACTCATTCAATAATTTTATGCAAAAAGATGGAATCGTTTCGTGCGACGTTTTGAAAAGAATTTCCGCCTTTGATCTGGCCAAGAGAAAAAAACGAACAAAAACAAAATATAGTCTGTTTTTGTGACGTTCATGCATCCCATTGAAATGAAAATCAGAGATGTCTTCTTTCCGATAAACTAGCTCATGTCACAAAGATACGACGACGTCATATTCATCTCACATAACTGCACATAACCTTTTGATTTCGACCTCGACTTGTACAATTCTTTAGCTGTAGTATACAAAAATCGATATAATTTCGAAGCGATAACTGTATTTTATGATTATGTTTTCCTTATTTTTACATGCGTGTGCTGATGAGTAAAGCTGATGAGTCCCCAAAATAGACAACAATTAACATATCTATTCTTGGATATTTTTCACTCATACATCTTTGGATGCTCATTAGATAGAAATCAGCTAGTATGCTATTTAGAATTTAAACTAGTTAATCTAAAAGACGTGGATGAAAATTTTCTATGGAATAGCAATAATAAAATTTTCCGTTGTTTGTTTTTCTTCAAGCGCCCATGCGCCACTCGTTATTTTTGTTTCGATTGATCATGGTATCCGCATCATTTCGACATCACATCATTTGCATTTTATGTTATTTATATTCAACGAACGCGACTGCAATTGGTTCATGTGTTTTGAATAGGTAAATTTGGTTATTTAGCATCAGAAACTGGCATTTATAAACGGTAGGACTTAATGAAACTCAAAAATTTACTTGGTATAAGTTTATAATATTTATAAACATAATGAACCGAATCAATAACATGAGACGGGCGACGATAGCAATGCCATTTGAAGTTAGATTATGCAGAATTTTGATGTTTCTATTCGATTCATCTTTAAGACCTACATAAATACAATCTCGGGCTCCCAGAATGTATGCAAATTATTGATACGGGTTTTTAACATTAAAGATGGAAATTACAAACGGTAAAATGAAAAGCTGCATATAATATCATCTGGCAATTCGTCAATCGATTGATTCATTTTCAAATATCGTTTTATCTGTGAATTGCAAACCGACATTTGTTTTTACTCAAAACTTAAAAAAAAAACAGTCTCACTATATGATGCCCATCCCATGATATTGGTTTCGATACTTGGCCGCACATCATATTTATGTGCACAGAAAATACCGCAATCGTTAATGGTCATACGTATGATTGAATGAAACACAAGTGAAAATTAAATAAACAAATATGATAAAACGAAGTTAAAAGTCGTCAGCTTACTTGTCGAACACACATACACAGAGGAATAGTGTGAGTGAGAGAGACCATTCAAAGCATAGGCATACGTGTACTACGTGCATCAGCCAATACTCGCCAGTTCAATCCATTGTGTCCATATCGATTCATTTTGTATATAAAGCTGACCAAATCCCACAATCAGCAACAGTCACTAGACACTGAACAAAGTGAACACACAGTCCTACCCAAACTCAAAACCTTCTTTGTTAAAACTATTATCAAAATGAAATTCATCGTCTTGGTATGTTGATCTACCATTATTAGTTTGAACATTTCATTTGTAGTGTACTTTTTTAAGTGAATTTTTGTTTTTAGTATCAATTAAATTGGATAATTTTGCTGCAAATTGGCCAATCGAACATTGTTCTGAAACGTAAATCGTGAACCAAGTGTGATGTCATTTGTTTGATTTTACGATATATTTCGATTTGCTTGAAACATTTACGAATCAGCAGATATGTAATCGATTAGTGCAATAAATTAACGTTTTTGTGAAGAGCAGCTTTTTCAATTGAATCCAAATTTCATATTAATCTAATAATCTCCATATTTTAGCCACTCAAATACGAAATATCAATGAAAAAAAAAAACATGAAACAATTTTTCTAATAAACCTTTCTTCTCTATTGCAGGCTTTTTTGGTTATTTTGGCCGCTGTTGCCATCGTTTCAGCTGTTCCAGTTGATGAAACAGTCGTTGGACAAGTCTATGGTCAACATGAGAGCATCAATCCACAAGATCCAAACGAATTCTTCAAATTGAAGAAACTCAAGAAAATCTTTTTTGGTTAGACGAGGCTATATTTGGAGCAACTGCTATAAGAGAGAATTCATACAAACACAACCAACAGAAAACTCTCTCTCTGGCCAAATACTAATTAAATTAAATTGTTTTGATTATATTTATGTTGCAAATATCGCTAAGAATGAACTTATCACCGGCATAAATGCTACGACTTTTAAATTTTTAATTTTAACTCTACTTTGTCGTCTTCTACTCCTTTCTGAACTAGAACCCAAAACTGCACAAAAATACAAACACAGTCAATAACATTAGTTTCAACAAGTATTTTGTATATAAACTTTATCAAAAAATAAAATATTTTAAAACCAACAAAAATCAAACCAAATATTATTTATTTTATTATCAGTAAGTCTGTCATTCGAAATCAGCGCTGCATTTGTCACAAGTTTCGAACATGTTTGTGCTGATATTGAAGAGAGGGCGTGCGCTGACCAAATGTTACATTCAGTATGACATTTGTCAAAAACATTGCAGTGAGATGTCCTCAAATTGAACGAATGATCGATGAAAACAATATTAGTTGGTTTGAAAATGAGAATTTAAAAGAAAGTAAAAGTTTTACAACATTCACGTTTTCGATAAATTTGAAATGATTCGATAAGAACCGTGCAGATTATTTGCAAATGGGATACAGTTCAAGAATCTTGAAGAGACACATCAATATCGAACGAACTTTGTTTTCCTCCATTCAAACGTATTAACAATTAGATTAAACGAATTACGAAAGTGATCGAATTTAAAAACAAATGAAAGTATAAAAAAATGAGATAATGTTGCAAATATAATTCGGCAATAATTGGTATAAGGATATTTTAGTGTTGATTACCTCGACCATCAAATCTAATATTTACATTCAATTTGTTTGATTGCGAACTCTTTACATGTTTGATAAAGAAGTAAGTTTGTGAGGTGAAAATCATATCAGACTGGTTCGGTTTTATTTTGTGAGCGATTTGTTAAACGAAATGCGACGGTTCCGTTATTTTATAGACATTGTGAAAATTACATGTGGCCAATTTGATATTTTAACGATTGCATAGTATACCAAAATGACAAATAGGATCATGTTTATTAAGAAATCGATAATAATTCATACGCAAGTCGTGCAACATTTTAATTCACTGTGATGGGATGAAAGAAGCGAAGTTGACGGTGGTTGTTTTTTTGTTTTTTTGGATCTTATCATTCAATTCGTTATTCTGTTTGAGAGAAGATTGATGCCATCAAATACTGGTCATTTCTCCTCGAATGCTGCTCGTATTGTATGATGGTAAAGAAGAAAACATAATAGTTGTATTGTTTATTCGTATATAGATGCACTGGTGTTATCTATGGAAATAAGTGGAATACAGACTAATAGAATGCGGACATTATACAAATCATATGACACGGGTGCGGGCATGGGCACGAGTTCACGAGCACGGGTACACGAACACGAACTCAAACACAAGTACACTAGTCCATCCATGTTAGCGTGATTTGCCATCTCTGTCGAACCACCACCACGAAGTACAGAGAAAAAGTGGAACAGAATTTTCGGTAGACTTTGCGCGCCCATCATTAAACCATCGTGTGACACATATTGAGGCTCCAGCTAACCCTTAAAAATTAATGTATACACTATTGTGAATGACGTCCAATCAATTTCCATCCGAATGTCGGTCGTTACTAATTGATTGAAATTTCATTTGAAAACACGATTTCAAAAATGCCAATTGCCAAATTTGGCAAATCTTCCTTTTAGTTTTGTTTTTTTTTTTTTTTTGCGAAATTCTTTCCATCATTCGATTCTATCGATCGAACTTTGAGGGTTAACAGAAAGATGCTGTACAATGGAAAACGTGTAAATTAGGGGATACAAGCATGTTAATCTTGATTTTTGCGTTTGCGCTGCATCGAATGCGTCAATTTGAATACCACCAGAGCCACACATTGTTTGTGAAACACATTTTAACAAGTGCTTGAGACACAAATTTGGAATTTTCTAATACCATCTATATGAACATTTCGATGCTTTTCATTTACAATTTGTTTCTATTTTCCTAATAATTTTCACAATTGTTTGAGCGCTTCAAGATACAAATGAGAGTTGTGAGATTTTTGAATAGTTTCACGGTTGCGGTTGTGCAAAAGATGGCGCTGGCAAATATTCTATCGTAATCACATTTCCACTTATTTAGCAGCGTTAAAGGCGAAAAAATAATTGCGTTGTGATGGAAAAGCATGTCTTGAACATTTTTTTTTTTTGACCGTTGCTTTACGAATATAACTGAAAATATTTCTTTAAAAATGTGTATTGGTCAGCATTCAGTGTAGGGTACACGAGACCACGAGAGAAACGTCGATATTTTTTGAAATGGGATGTGCACGCGCTCTCAAGATTAAAACCACGTAGAGTTAAGTTTTTACACCGAGTGACAGTTTGCAACTTTTCTCCTGCGTGTTCTCTCGCACAGAAAATTCATATGTGGAGTTTCTCTATAGTCTCAATAAATGAGATATAAATCGCATGTTCGTAAATATCGATTCATTGCGCACGCAATTCATTCATCGCATTTTGTAGTCAGTGCCGTTTGAAGCCATCGAGAAGAAGGGATCGGCATCCCGTTACGAGCTCCGTGTCTCGTAAATAATGTTTTTTTTGACGGTACATTCACTTTTTTAACCGTCCCAATTATAATTTCATTCCAGAAATAATTTTATCATCATTTTCTTGTTAGTAAAAAAAACGATTGAAAATAAGAAGAAAAAATTCAACAAAAATATTAAAAAATAATAGAACTTTTTAATAAAAAAAAAAAAAAACGTAATCAACCAAAACAAAACAACAAAACGAACCGAAAGAACGAACGAATGAATGAACGAGCCAACTCAGAGATAGCAAAATTTGTTATAGAAATTCCAAAAACAAGTTTTAACCGAAACAAACGAAATGAAACGCCATACAATTTCGATTTAAGGATACAACGTGTTTTTTTTTTCAATGAACTGTGCTTGCGATTTCGCGGATAACAGGAAAACGTTCAGTGAAATTAGTGCAACGCGTGTGTTTGTGCAGTCGAGAAAAGAGAAACGGGGAGAAGAACGAAATTCAAAGAAAAAAAAAACAACTGTCGAAATACGTTCAGCATCTTTATCAATCGACGCGTATTTACCGAGAATCGAATGAAAGAAAACGGGTTGAAAAATTGTGCACACGTAGAAATGAATGTAGAATTGTGTTCAAAATGATTGCAGTGTCAATGAATAACAACATAATATCAAATCATTCAATTCGAAACAGTGTTTTTAATCGTAGCGTTTTATTGAGTTTGTAAAATTTATTTGTTCGCAATTTCGACTGTTAATTACCCCATCGGCCAAGTAACAAACTGGACGACGATGGGGCCATGAGCTTAAGCTACAATATCATTTCGAGTCGCAAGTGCGTCTCAATCGTGCTTGCACCATGCTAGCACTGCTGAACCTGAGGTCAATATGCGACCAGGACCTGGGCTGGTCGTGATGGCGCTTGCGTTTATTTCGGGAGCTCGACGAAGCACAAGTCAACAGAGCAATCCCACAATTGAAAGAAATTCAAATTTACCGAAAGAAGAACAAACAGGATTCTTAGCTCAACTAAATCCATGGTTGTCTGCTTGCGACGTGGCAAATCCAATAACAGCACCGGATCTTCAGGTAATGTACAACAGTTACAGGATGTTGACTATTGATAGATTGACACTTCAGTTATCCACTGGCTGGAGGGTATCCACACTTACCCACTTAGCTAACCATAATGTGAAAGAACAGTATAACAAAATGACAATACGTGAGCGACCACATCTCTCCAACATGACCGTAAAAACATCCACAAAATCTTTCACTTCTAATCGTACGTTCATTCATTAGACGTACATTTGATTGAAATGCAATAGCCTGGCATGATATGTTATAGTTGTTGAAAGCGAAATTAAATTTCCGAGTTGAATTTTCTTATTATATTTAGCTAAAATGATGCATACTAACTGGATTTTACCATCGGTGAAAGCCAAAAGTAAATAAGTGAAAGAAAACCTATGGACCAAATGGAATAAAATCGAAGCCAAAGTAACAAATAGTGTTCGGTTAAATCAGATTTGGGAGAAGGGCAGAAATATTCGAGAGAGCAAGAGAGAGAGAGAGGGAGAGAGAGAGAGAGAGAAATCAACAAAGAAAGACTGAACCGAGTTGAAGGCACGAATACGATTGCCGTTTTCCGCGGATATGTGTTTGAGTGCTTCTAGCAGCACATATACATATGAATACAAATACATATGTATAGATGTAGAGTGTCACTTGAGCCTGCGGCTTGGTGTGAGTACACCGATGAATGTGTGAGTGCATGGTCTGCTGTGTATGTGTGCGTGTGTACTGCCAGTGAACGAGAGACTAAAAAGCTTAATACTTTAAAATTCCCATTTAAATGGGTTAATCAAGAGCAGGTTAAAAGGACAAACTTGACACGCTTTCGATATTTATCTCTGCATGCCATTCCATTTTTCTTTTCGACGACTAGATTTCTCGGTTTCAGCAATTATTTGTTAGCGTTAAATTCGATGAGTTTATTCCGAGTTTAGAGAATGGAAATGCATGGCAATGTGTCACTACGGGATGGATCCATCAAATATACCTGTGAACGATGATGAAATATACTTAAATGTCACACAGTTGAATATTTCGTGAAATTGATTACCTTCTATTTGTTCACAATCTCATCATGATTTTCGTTATATTAATATGACATGAAATGACATGACATGACATGACATCACATTGACTAGCAAATCTCAATGCAATCGATTTTTTCCTAAGCAAACGGAAACCAATCACAAAAATAAAGAAGAATAATAGAAACAATGGTAATAGATTGGCAATAAAACAGTATGTTTGCCATTAAAGTAAACCTTAGTTTGATCAAAGGTATAGTTATCGCAAAGTAAAAGAGAAAAAATGAATTGAGGTATAATAACAATCAAGAGCCTTGCTGGAATATTCAAAAAGCAAACGGGGTTTTGAACATTGTTGAACAGAAAAATACATTGAATTAAATCAATTTGACTGTTCATTGCTCGAATAACAAAATATTCAGATAATAAAAAAATCACAAATTACTACTGAATCAACTATCACGTAAATAATGTACAAACTGCAAAAATCAGCGTCCAGAAATTTTTCGAATTTCGTATAAATTCTGTATTTTTTTGTTTATTTATAACGAGTTGATTTGGTCGTTATTAAGGATGTGAAATTGACTTCCATCTCAATTGGATTTTCTTCACCCCAACCTGGTTGCAGTCAAATATCGGTTTTAATATAACGTTACCCGTCCCCGTTGTGTGATGTAGTGATTCAGGGGGAAAAAAAATACGTGGTCATTTTAAAGATTCCATAAATTAATTGCATTTTTTGTGTCAGTTGTTGCACTCGATAATTAAAATCTAGTGGAACGGAAAAACATTTTATGAGCTTATACCCCTATAAATTCATTTCGATATCTCATTAGTGCGAATATATTTTGAAGTCAATTTGCTGACATCGATTAAAGCAGAGCACCGCTCTAGACCATCATTATTGCTTAGTTCGGGGATATCGATGAATCTTTAGAATATTGAAGTGAAAACATGTACAAGTGGTTGAGAGAGTAAAAAACAAAGACTGTAATATGAAAAGGATACAAGAGCCGAAAGTGTGAGTGGGAACTAAGAGTGAGAAAAAAAAGTCGACATAATAACTGTTAAATGAAATTATGCAAGTTTCATTAATGATGGTGACACAAATAGGTACGAATTCATGCATACTATAAGTTTTCGACGGATATGAAATATAAAGCATTCAGGCAAATAGTCGGTGTGCCACATTGGATACAGTATATAGGATAGTACGAAAAATACAGCTTTTACTTTTTTTTATTGAGATGCGATACTTACAACTTCCACCTAAATACCTAATACATGTATACACACTTGCAGACACACACACACACATAGACAAACATAGAGACGATGTCGATAGGCGATATGATATTTTTCATGGCTATGTGTAGAGAGAGAGAGAGGGAGAGGGAAAGAAAACGTCGGGATATTGTATGTGTGTCTTTTCAGCACGGACAGCATCAGAATCAACGCATCTTTAGCTGTTATTATTCCAATACGTATCTCGCATGGTAATATGGCAGCGTACATCGATGTGTTGGTATACATCTAATAATGTGGATACATAAAACATACAAGATTCTTATATTCTTTCTCATATTTTTTTTTAGAAAACTGATTTTCTTTTTCCCCCTTGCGCTTTCCATTCCATTTCGGTCGAGTAGCCCATATTTTTTATACATACTTGCAAAATCTATCCGCATTTTGCAGCTATGCAATGGTTTACAAGGAAACGGGAAGACGTATTAAAGAAAAACAAAGCGATACCATTGTCGAGATAAAATGAAAATGAGAATAAGGAGCAAAATTATAAAACGATAATGATTGTGATAATAGGAATAATAATCAAGGGAAAAGAGTGTACAAATGAAGAAAAGAAAAGAAAGTGGCACACGAACGATAGAGGATACACGAAAGCATCCCAACGAAATCGAGCAAATCGCATAAATGCGACAAAACATCAAATCACACAGCGTATCAATGCGAATCAGTATTGAATCTGTAAGCACATGAACAGTCAATTTCGAGTCAATCAAATGCAATTGAATTCAATTCAATTTGGATACAGTGGATATTGTATTGCTGAAATAATAAATATTAGTTTCAGGCCATGCTCCATCGGTACTATCTATTTCTCGTCCTCTTCTTATTCTTCTTCTTCTTCTTCTTCTTTTTGTTTCTTGCTTCGATACGTTGTCAAATAAGCATAAGAAATTGACACGAAGAAAGACGGTCGCAACACAAAATATTGGTGCTTCATCGCTAAATACATTTTACATCATGTCAGGCGAATCGCATGAAGATATCTATTCCATTGCGAAAATCGAAAAATTTATTGGCAATCGAATTAAGATCGTTGGTTTATGCTTCAATTTGCTCACAGTTTCTGTTTCTCTCTACTTGATTCAAATTTATTTATTCGTCTGTTCGTATCGACGCATTAGTCTTGGTATAAATTATAATTTTTTTTTTAGTGTAACTAATATTCCTTCTTGCATGCCATTTTACAGGGTCAATGTTCAGTAAGCGGTAGCACACTGCCTAAACATTGGGTAAACGAAGGCCCTGGACCACCAATATGTGCGCAGTCCTGCAGTGAAAAATATAAAACAAATTTCGCCAGTAAAACAACAGATAGTAATTTAAATATGGATGAGAAAAATCGGTTTTATGAAAAACAACAGTGCCTTGATTATTTGGGCGATGATAAATTGACTTCTAGTCCTGAACAAATTTGTAAAAAATCATCACGTGAAATATCGAACAAACTACGTACATTACGTTTAAGACATTGTTGCGAACGAAATGTTTACAGTGCATTGCATGACGATGGAATGTCAGCTGTAACCAAAGGTGGCAGAGAATGCGAACAAATATTACAAAACCTTATTGAGGCGGACGCATTAGCTAGTAGGATTACATGTGGACTTAATGAAATTCTATTTAGATATGATTGTAGGCAAGTTTATTCGATAAAACATGGATGCAATGATTGCAAGGTAATTATCGATTTTTTTCCCAATTCCTTAATATGACAAATGTGAACTGTCCAATTAAATATTAGTTTTGCATGCTTTGGTTAGGCTAAGAAAAGCAAACCGTCACAAAGTAAAGCATACGTTTGACATTGTGAACAATTTTTTGTGAGTGTGACTGTTCAGAGGTGGTTTTCACATTGAGACATCACTCATTGTTAGTTAGCACTTGTTTTGGCTTTCGGGTTGTTTGCTCTCAAAGTCACTCAATCATTAAGCTTTCACGTGAAGCACAAGGCGCATCCAGAAACCACTCACGAAAATGTCAACGTTCAAACTTCTTTTTCTGGGCTGATTTTTTTCCTAAGTAAGAAAAAAAAGGCTTCATTCGAAAATAGCAATAATAGACCAAGAGCTGTGGAACAAAATGCGCTTATTAGAATGCTTCATAGCAGATATTGTAATTGTAAGTGTCAGTGTACATTAATGACAATACTCAAAATATTATTTGCTTCATTCTTTACTTTATGCAAATGATGACATCTGTACGCCGACAGTTGATAGCAATAAAAAGATATTTTTCTATCAATTTACAGGTATTTAAGAAAAACATTTCTTCGACAATTGAAATTCTGAATATTGTTCTTAATGCTAGGGGGAAATATTGAATTAAAATACCTCGCAAATGCTCACAAATGACATATTTGCAAATATATTTGAGTGAACCTATTGTGAATATTTACGGTTGACACAAAAATGAGTAAATATTGTGTGAATTTATAAAACAATACAAATGAAGGGCAAATATACATATTTGCAGCTGGATTTCCCCCCTAGTCTTAATGTGTCCATTTACAATAGTATCATCTGACACATAAATTATAATGATAGTATTTTGTTCCACAGTTCTCGATCTATAAACCAACGTCCCTTGAATTACTGAAAATCTAGTAATCCCAATGATAAAATGGTTGGCCGCTCTCATAAAGATCAATTGTTCTGCTGTATCCCTATCCATACTATAGAAATTCGAACGGATGCGACCAACCTCGTTTCCTTTAATTAACGTGCGTGTGTTGTTTGTGTACTATCTACCATAACACTAATAGTTATACACCCGAATTGGTCTGGATGCCCCTTTGCATCTTTGATGTTTGCGCATAGTTTTGACTTTGTTTGGTTGTTATTTATTCAGTTAGAGTTACTGAACGTATTAAACCATTTTTTTTTTTTTTTTTCAAAAACATTTCGTAACAAATCAAACTCCACCGAAACAGCTTAATTTAACCAATTTAATTTATTTTTCTGATTTCAATTTTATAAATCACAGGAGGCGTATCGCAGATGGGTCTGTAGCACATTAATTCCATATTTTGCTGAACCAATCGATATCAGGCAGAGTCGAAACAAGGAAAATAAGGAGAATACCAACAATAATAACAATAACAATAATATTAATTATAATAATAATGTTAATAATAATAATGAACCCAATTCAAAAAGTCTACGTTCATCGCTGACCGATGAAGAAGATAAAAAAACTCAGGTTGGTTTGGTGTCTGATGATCCTGTTGTATTTAAAATACTAAATAGGTAAGCTTTTCCACACTATTTGCCATATTCAAACTAAATTTGTATGTAAATTATAGTCAAGTGTTCGCTAACGATGCATTTTGCCTTATTGCTAATTATTTTTTCCAACCCGCTTGATTCCATTTCAGATCAAAACGAAAATCTACTTCAGAGAAACGGCGAAAGAGAATAAGACCATGTCTGAAAATTTGCCAAAGTGTTGAAGAACGTTGTCCATATTTATTGCCTGGTGACAGATCGCCTGGATACAATACGCAGTATGCAGGCGAGCCAACATTCCTCTGTAATGGTGAGTTCTTTCCGTTTCTTTTGTTTTTGTTTTCTATGCCACTCATATAGTAGTTTATGACTATCTACCAAATATGATGTGGTTTGGCAACATGTTCCATATCTAAAAAAAAAATGCTTGTTATTTCGGAACTTCCACCAATCAATATAGATCCAAACATTCCCGAAACTGGTGAACAACTGGCAAAATCTAACAATGGGGCTGATAACTGTTGTTACGAGTATTGTAATTCGTTTTCGGTATACATGGGTGCATGCGCTTATTGTGACTCAGTTGAACCCGATCCAGCTGATAGTCAAACTGATGTGCAGTTGATCCAAAAGAAGCCGGTCGACGAAACTAAGATGCTTCAACAGCGATATGATAGCTCTAGCGTAGCGAAGCTAGATACACCGCCTCAAACCTGCCAACTGTTGCCGGGTCTGTCGCTAACAAGTACACGATGTGAAATCCCATACTATGCATCATCCTTTGACATGACAACATTGCACTCTACGGACACATCAACACCGTCGACAGTGTCAACATCAACGATGGCCGAAAGTACGTGAATCTAGTTTACAACGCACGCACAAAGACCTAGGAAAACGTTTTTTTTTTTAAAATTGTACTGAATACTTTGCACGGATGCTTCAAGATTCGTATGTCATCGGTTCTTGAACGAAAAAGCTCATTTCATAACCCCCATTTGACGCTGTGTGCGCTATTATTATTGCTGTTATGCCTGTGCACATACATATGCACCATGATATGCATATATAAATGAAATATATGTCGCCTTTTTCGCAAAACTGTTCCCGAACAAAACATCGAATTATTGGGTGTGAATACAATCCCCCCATCTGTTAAATAGCCACGACCAATGGTTTTATATCCGAAAACAAACTGGTCTAATCCTTGTCGATGAAAAACAACACGGTTCAGCTTCAAATCTACAAAATGTTCTACACTCACACTGACTTATCGAAAAAGGTTCGCGCATCAAATCGAATAATAATTGCCAACATGTCGAGGAAGCTCCAATCTAGCGCTCGGACTAGATGCTAAATACAAATAATTAAATCATAATTCATCAATGACTAATCAAACCAAAACTTTCAACGATCATTATCGAACAGTATAGTTTTTCGTCTAGTTTGATTTTTGTTTCCGGAAAAGATGCAGTATGCTCACAAAGCCGAAAATTGCTTCACAATTTTGCTATATTTTGATTTAGTTTATGAAATCTATCTTAATAAATGCAGAAAAACAGGAAAAAAATACAACTGGACGAGTGCAGTGACTGAGCGTCAGATTTACACCACTAGCCATGCTCACAATCCAATTTGATAAACTTTGATACATTTACAAATTTGGACAATATCATGGAACCTGTTGTAATGAACTAACACACTCATATACTATTGACGCGCTAAGGAGAGAACAACCAATGAATCGAAAAATTATATCGCTGCAAGGGCTGCACCATATATTGATCCATTTTGCCGAATTCTAGTTTTCATGATAGTGAACAAAAAAAAAAAATTAAATAAATACTATAACAGTAACAATAATGAAAAAAAAACCATTTGAAGGGAAAAAAAAGTATTAAAATAATAAATTAAAAATGAAAGTATATGAAAATAATAGCATACATTAATTTTTCACTCATTTGTGTTCATGTTCATGAACACCAGACACGAAATTAGTGGAACCAGAAATGAAGTTGAGAAAGAATAATTGTGCGCGCACACTCGATCAAAATAAACAAAATCCATGTGAAAACATCTATCTGTATAGGACAAATTTATAGCCGTTTCTTTAGCGACAAACACACCAACAACCACAAAAATGATTTAAAAACTAATGATAACGATTGAAGATAACAAACGAAGAATGAAATATTGCGTTTATGCAAAATACTCACATTATGTGGAAGGAATTAGAAGAAATGGGGATGAATAGAAGTTTGATGTGAATCCGCAACACACAATGCGATGACTATTTCTAGAAGATATTTAGGCGTTTTCCATTTGAGAGATGTCTCAAAGCAAAAATGATAATAATAACGAGACAAAACAAAACAAACAACAAAACCAATTTGCAATTATGATTTTAAATGAACAGTTTGAAATTGTCGAAATATGTTCGATGCTCGAATACATTTATGAAATTGAACAGAATGGGTGCACTTAACATAATACGCCCAAAAAATCAGCAGCCACCATCGAAAACGAAAGACTCGAATCGAATGAAAAATGCATTTCAACGATGCTCTTCAATCATTGATTCCCGTCGCTGAACGTGAACAAAAATGAATAGGAAAAAAAAAACATTAAATTCAGATCGAATACCATCAAAATCATTTACACGAAACGCATTAAAAATGTCTACACACGAAATACAACAGTCAGTCGAATTGAGTTCTTCTCTTTTCTCTCGATTTATGGTTTTCTGTATTTTAATTAGAAAAAAAACAGTAATAAAACAGCAGCAACTGCAACCAAATTTAAAGGGAAAAAAACATTACGATAGCGAGAAAAGAACGAATTACGTTAGTATGTAAATGCTATTCAACAATTCAAAGACGAAGAACAACAATAACAAAAAATATTATATATTTTTAAAGTTAAATGAAACAAAAAACGAGGAAGGTCAAACATCATTTTAAATCATAATTATTCCGTCAATTTTTTTACATGATAAAAAAATGAAGATAAACAATTGCTGTTAATAAAAATTAATTTAATTACATCAGATAAGTATTTAATTAAATTTGTAAGTAGACAACAACAAAAAGAAAAATGGTCAAAGAGTATTTATTCTATTTCTACAAAAGAAACAAAACACATGAAGCAACACAAACACATACAAATACATTTTTTGGGTTCAATAACGATTTGGGTGTAGAAATTCAGTTAATTGCGCGTAAACGTTCTTTTTTCGATGTTTGGTTTTTGAAAATTCCATATTTATTGAAGACGAAACGGCAAATCACATAACATCAAATAACTCTGATCCAAAAATTAAACTAGACAAACGGCGAGCGTCAATATATACACGCACATGGAGTTTTGTTGATGGCACACTGATTATTGCTTATCAATAATGATTATAACACCGGCGTAATATTAACAAAAGCAGTGAATGCACAGAAGGAAAAGAAAAAAAAAAAAGAGACAAGAACAAACCGAACGTTCGAAAATACATAACATTACATTAGCTGAGCAATTAACAAGTAGAATGATCTAGTGTTATGAAAATTTAAAATGCACATGGAATTTGAATTAAATTGAGAAAAAATTTGAATATTATTTTTGTCGAAAGCTGTTTGAATGAAGTGAAAGATGAAACAGTTGATTGAAAGCGAGAAAGAGAGAGAGAGAGAGAGTGAGAGAGTGAGAGAGAAAGTGGAAGCAAGAAAATTTACAAAGTAACTATTTATTTATGTTTTAGGTGATCTGTAAAGTTGTTAATTAACTTGTAAGCGTGTGTCCAAGTCATAGCATATATCCTCATTCTGATTGGTTGTTTGTTTAAGTTCTGAAGCATTTAATTGGTGTTTGGCCAAATCATTTAGTTTCTAGTCCTCATTTCTGTTTCGTTCTTTCCCGTTTCGATTGATCAGTCCCAGCATTTAATTTGGATAAAACCAACTTAATATAAAACAAAACAAAAAATGTACGGTGCAATCGTTTAAATTGTTAACATAGGAGTATAATATTGTCTTGACTTTTTTTAGATGAGAGATGAACAATGTTTTTTTTTTTTTAGATTTTGTTTGAATAACGTATAATGTAGCAGGAACGACAAATGAATTTACCGATATACAAAGATCTCATATGCAAACCAGTTAAGGAATGTAAAACAATTAAACTTAAATGATTAGACGTTGTTGTATGACAAACCATATACATTTTATAGCTGATGACAAGCGTCAGCTCGATTTTGCAAAATTAAACAAACACACGAAATAAAAACAAAAATACACACCAAAAAAAAAAAAAAAAGAATTACGTTTAGTGTATTTAGACGATTGAAGTGAAATTGAAGTGACAGCTAATTATTCTCAGAAAAGAAATATGTTTCGCACATTCATTTTGGATTCATGAATCAGATTTTTTTCGTTCGTCCGGCATCAACATCAGAATAACAATAACAACAACAACAATCTATTTGTAAATGTATTTTTATTGTTGTATTTCAATATTAGCAATGCGTAAAATTAACAAACAAACAAAAAATGGATAAGTGACAAAAAAAACAACAATCGGTGATATTTTCTTTTCTTTATGATGGCTTACAAATGAATAAGAAATTTAAATAATAAAATTATACACATATACACTAGGGTGTTTTTCATAACCTGAAAAAGAGAAATGATAGACTTTGAATTAAAGAGAAACGAATTCTGTATCAATTAATGGTTTTTACACAACATAACGAGTGATATTCACACTTCCTGAAGCAAAAGAAAAAGTTCTATAATCGATTGTTGAATGCCAATAGTTTTGCAGTGATACATATGAGTAAATAAATAATTAAATACTTACAATGAAGAATCCACCTGAATGTACTCAACTTGTGCTTTTGAGCGGCACGAGATAGCGGTAGCGCCTAATTAGACAGCGTGGTTGATTGTCAGAACTACATGACATTTTGTCAACGTTCCTCAATTCAGCTTCTTTAGGTACTCTGTGTAAATGTGTTTTTTATTTTAATAAACATCCAAACAATTTTTTTCAATAATGATCATTATGGTTCGAACCAAAACGATATATTCAATGTTGCTTAACATACTTCACTTGCGTTTTGGGGAAAATGTGTGAAAATTTTAAAACTTACTTGAAGAATGAAATATTTTCCAAAAAAGTACCAAATTCATGTTCACAAAATTTAATTTTGCAATATCGTTTTGTGGGCATTTTCATAAAAATATAATTTATTCAATAACGAAAGAGAATATAAATGTGTAACAAGCACGCTGTGTGTGACACTTATAACTTACGTACTATTGCGAAATAGTTTGAACTACTAAATGTCAAATATTTAAATTCGCGCCGCTGAATAGTTGCTAAATATACCGCAGATCTTATTTAGTCGCTACCGCTATTCACTGTCACGTCAAATACATTGGTTCTTATGGGAGAGAAGCACAGGTTGAATGTACTCTATCTATATAAAATAGATAGCCATCGATGAAGGTGTCATAGACCGTATATCACATAGAAAGCCCATTAGACATGAGACAGTCTATGTACGTTCTTCTTAACCTGGTCGATGATATCTGGGAGACTAAGACCTCAACCAACTACAGATAACATAATTTCACATTATTATTATTTTTGTTTGAAAAATAAAACCATGAATTTTGGCTCTATTGATATTGATGATTGTTGAAGTTCACTCGAAACCGAGTTGAATACACGAGTTGTTGAGAAGTGAACGCATCATGTAGCCGATGTCCAAAGAGTTCGCAATGCCCTGAAACATAGAGAAAAAAATTATCAACTCGCCGTCTAACCGTTGCATCCCAAGTCTTCATGTCCGGATCGATGCCCGATTCATATACATAGAAACCATCACGATACCGTTTACGCACCAAATCCTTATCCACCATCTTGTCTATTACAGTTTTTTTTTTTTTTCACTTTGTACAGAATCTATGCCGATACACCATCGTCAGAGATTATGCACGAATTATTTGTCTGCTGCCTTCAACACTTTATTGATTTCGTCCATGATGAAAATCTCTCTCATTGAAATAATGCTCTTGATGTTGAGTAATGTAGCCCTCAATATGTTGATGATCATATTCATCATGTGTAATGAGACCGGTTTTGCACATCATACGATACAAAACATCAGCGTCTATTCTGACTGCCTTCCTCAGGTGATGACATATTGGGATGATCACCAAATTTTTCGTTAATATCATCGTCATAATTGGTCCGCTTATGTTTCGCACATAGCGCAGCAATTGATCTCGTCTTGCCAAGCGATCATCATCGCCTCATGTTGCATCATATCGTCTCATTCCCCATTTCACTGCATTTTCGACATCTCGTTCGTCGTATTCATCCGGTGCGCCATGAATCCAATAGTTTTACTGGAATGCCTTCCATCCCACAAAATAACGCATTCGTTTTTGAGTATGTACTTCCAGATTTGTCATGACATTGCGACCACACTGTTGATACAAATACTTCATCAGATTTCCAAAGTATCCGTTATGTGGCCAAGGGAATCGATTGTCGGTGTCCAGATTTTCAACGCAATCCATGGATCCATAAATTTGTCTTCCTTGTATCTCCGCAATACAACAAAGAAACAGTTTTCGATGATGTGCATTCCATCGCCTTCGTTGAAAAATGACCAATCGCCGCTGTTGATGGCGTCTTCATTTTATGTTGGATTTTGTGATCCATGGCAAAACACGATCACAATATTTCGATGGAACAACAGTAGCGGCGGCCAACTTGATTGCAAATAATGCTTTCTCCTCCTTTTCCTGGCTATTTTCAACTTTCTGCTTTTTCCGCCTATTGCCACCAATAGCATTTACCCCTATTCTTCTTTTACCCATTGAATCCTGAAAAAAAAAGGTTTAGAATGCACTAGCAATAATTTGTTAGAAGCAAAAAGTATTTCACAATACCTTTATTTATTGCAATCGCTTTCCCGTTAGAATGTTAGCCGCTTAGTGTACGATCAACGAGATACGAACGAATGAGATTCACGTCCAAGCACCAAACGAAAAAAAATGAGGAAAATAATCAGATATTATGTATATTCTACCTAAAAACACTGACCAAATTACTCAATTTGAACAAAATGAAAAAAAAAAAAACATATAGTGAATCGAACAATATTCACAATAATTGACTTGCCTTTCCAAATGCTCGATAGAAAATAAATGCAACCGGCTCAAATTTGACATCAAGTTGAATTTAGTTTTGACAACTTTCCTCAACCGATGCCAGCTTCAATATGTTGAATTTTCGTTATGAAATTCATATTCAACTGGTATGGGTGTAGAAACTCAATAAATTCATATAACGGAATCAAAGTACACAAATGCAACACCAAACCACAGTAACAAATTAGCCTGTTGTGTTGTGTTGCGTTGTATGAAATGAATGAGAAGTGTCGGTTCCGCGTTTTCGCCCAAAATCACGCATTTAATTGTTATTTATTATTTTCTCTTTATTTGGTATTTGACATTTGATCTTATACATGCTGTCTCGAAGGCCAATTGATTTGTACATATTTCCTAAAATTAATATTTGAAAGTTGTAAATAATTTTTGTGTTCTTGCGTCATTTTTAATTTATATTTTTTTTTAAGTATATATTAAAATTTTCATTGAAATCATTGTTGTCTCTTATATCACGAATTTCTTCTGGAATTCTATTCCATAGATTTGGTCCACTTATTATAAATGGTGACGTTTTTTTTGGAAATTTGTTTTTGGCATTTTTATAATTAATTGTTTGATCGAGTATTGTCTGAATTTATTGTTAATAGTTCACTTAGATAAGGTGATGCTTCTCTCGTAATAATTTTATTTATAATACTTGCGACATGCAGTGTACGGCGTTCAAATAATTTCAAAAGTTTTAAATAATTTCTATGTGGAGTTATGTGCTCCCGACGATCTACATTTAAAATGTATCTAATCGCAATATTTTGTAACATTTCGAGTTTTTCATCATTTCCGATTGTTCCATGAACTCCATAGTTGTGATAGACCACATCCATATAATCAATGATTGGAAGTATCAATGTTCTGTATAGTTGTAGTTTTATGTCATGTGGTAGCAATGATTTTAATGGGTATATGGTGTTTAAAGCATCAATCGCTTTTTGTTGTACTATTTTCACATGATCATCATTTGTTAATGTGGGAGCAATACACAAATCGAAATTCTCATAAGATGTTTGCTTACAAAGTTCGTTCGACAGAGTAGTTGGAATGGTTGTCTTTTCAAACGTTTGAATATTTGACAGGTGCTGAATAGCGTTCCGAAAACATATATTCGAAATAGACAGTTTTTTGCTTCGGAAAGTGTGAAATATCGATTGCTCCATTGTGCGAACACTATCAATTGATACAGAATTCTTTTCTCTTTAATTTAAAATCTTGATTATACACATATACATTTTCATAATAATAAGGTGTTCAATTGTTAGCGCCCGGGTCCTCAAAATCGAAACGAATAAGCAAGAAAACTACAAAAGATGTATGCCAAATGTCGTTTTCCTTATCGAAAGAAAAGAATAAAAAAAAAAGAAGCACAAATTAGGCAACTACTCTCAAAAAGAATTGTATTGGTATATAGTTTAGTCGAATGCAATGTGACTGATTACTTCAAAAAGATGTTCCAATTTGCAAGACATACCAAATTATTATAAACATTTAAAACATAAATTATTGACTGTTTTTTTTTTGAGCTCTCTTTTTCATTACTTGTATTATTTTATTGCTTTTTTTTTTATTTAATTTTTATCGAAGCAAAAAAGAATGTCTTGGCCATTCGTCCGTATTTTTTTAATTTCTGGCACAATGAACAAAGAAAGATTGATGGAAATATGATGAATTATTTGTGTTTAAAAACTGCAAACTACAACCAAGAAGAGCATTTTAATGGTTAAATTGAAGCACGCAAACGCCAACACAGAACACATCCATGACACGAACAACAACATCGATATCGAGCATTTAAAAGAGTACCCAATAAAATCGATAAAAAAAAAATAATTTAAATGTAAACAATTATTTTAACCCCAAACAAGGATAACTAATACTTTAACTATAGTGACACAAAGATATGAACTGCCAACAACAACAACAACAACAACAAAACACTTTGAACAACTAATATTAAAACATAATTATAACGTAAATAATCTAAATTTCGAACAAAGGACAACTGAATGCTATAAAAGCAGATACAAATTATATGTATATTGTATATTGCAAGGAAAATACGGAAAAGAAGAATAAAATTACAAACAAACATAAAATCCGAAACAGAATATGATGACAAAGCACAAGGTAGATTAATTAAATAGAAATAGATTCTATTATTATTGTAATTAAATACTGATAGACATATTGAAACAAAACCAACAAAATAAACTATCAGATCACATAAAGAAACTAACAAAGTAAACATGAGCGAACAATAACAAACGAACGGGCGCAATGTAGGCAGAATAAACCTCTCTCCAAATCCCTACTCACCTCGGGGCCCCCGCCCGGCCG